GGACGACATGAAAGCCACTCCCAGAAGAAAAGAGGGAAAGAAAAGGGGGCTAGGCGAGACCTCCAGCTCAGGGTCGCAGCCACACTGTGCCATGAAACACCTGCTCCTGTACAGCTTTGCTAATTACAGGGGAGACAGCAGGCCCCTCGCAGCTCGCACATAATGCCGTTAGTGGTGGGGACAAGGAGAGAGGATTACTGATTCAAGACTCTGTATTTTACAGTGTCAACTATTTTAATCCGCTGCTGATTCAGTACACATTTTAGTTTTGCTCAGCTTCTGTCCACGTACTGATTCCCCTCCTTATTTACAATGCACACCTCAGAGAAATGCTTGTTGACTGGAGCTCCTGCTTTGTCCTACATTGTTCGGCGACTGTGGCCAAATGACCACACAAGACAATAAAACGCGGTTAAGGTGGCTTTGAGACAAGTCCATTGGGGAGACAGATATCAAGAACTAGCCAACTGGATGAATTCCAAGGCTTTCGGCCTCACAAATTAAATCAGTGCTTTAAGCCAACCGAGGAACCACATGCTTTTCAAGTGCCACGAGGAGCGAGCATTACTGAATCTTTTCAACAAACTGCAGTGACCAAAGTGTAATCAATGGCCACTGGACAGAGAATTTACTGATACTTTATCTCTGTGAATAATGACACCAATAAAATTTAACCAATTACTATAAATAAATGATGTAAAGTCCTATCCCTTTTTAGCATTATCTGGCTTCTAAGACTCTCAGCTATGAGAAGGAAATAAAGGTCTGCTGTTTGCTTCCTTGCAGAGATGCGTTGACTCACTGGAACCAATCTATTCACATTTTTATTTAGCCAAAATATTTTTGGACCAATTATATCAAACCAAAATCACAGTAAAAGTGAAAAAAAAAGGCTGAATTCACCTCCACATCTGCTCCTGAAATTTCAAGCTATGATTGACAATCCTATTTTAGACCAAGATGATTGTAAGGTGCAATGAAAATTCCTTTTTTTTTTTGTCCTTCTAATAACAACATTGACTTTCTAGGTCAGTCAGGTGCAGATTGGGTTCCTCGACAATCATCTTCTTCTGTCAATATAAACCCACTTCATGGTAAAATAAAAAAATTTGAATAATAAAATGTTCACATTACTGTCTACCTCTGCCTACACTGTGATTCATGAATGAAAAACAGCAGCAGTCAAAAAACTGAAAATGCAAGGTACTATACTTCTCTTATAAACAAAACTTTTATAAAATATATATGCATATATATATAAAAGAAAAACTTAAAAATATTTCTTATACTTTTTAGTAAAGCAAGCAGTGCCTTCTAAAATATCTGCTTGATTGTTTTTAAATTTTCTGAAAAACAAAAATGTGTATTATAATAATAATAATCATAATAACAGTAAATAATTATTGAACAAACACTGACAAAACTAATGATAAAAACTGATGTGGTTCCTTAAGAGAATATTCGGATGGCCTGTGTGACCTGGGTGTGGCACACTGGGCACTCCGGGTGGTTGAGCTCACAGATTCGGATGGCACACTCCATGCAGAAGAGGTTATGGCCACAGGGCACCAAGGCAGCCGTCACTTTGCTCTCAAAGCAGGTCATGCAGTCCCGCACGGTGGCCGGCGGCGAGTCCGGTACTGGCAGACGGCCTGGGAAGCCCTCACCGGCTGAGGTGGGCTCGCTGTGGGCGCGGCGGGCCTGGGCGTGAGGTGAGCCGGCTACGGGCACAATGCTGGTGACTGAAGAGTTGTTGGTGCTTCCGCCTCCACAGGGCTCGGGCAAGCCGGGGGAGAGTCTGGTCAAGGGGAGCGGGAGGCCTCCAAAGCTTTTGGAGCGCTGCTGGGCGTAGAAGGCCACCTGTTTGGGGTACTCAGGGTCGCCCCAGCTTTGGGTGCCCTCGGATCCAAAATAAGAGCAGGGCTTCTCTCCGGAGCTGGAGAAGTTGCCCTTGTTGTAGAGTCCCCCTCCCTCGCTGCTGCCGCCGCCACCACCGCCACCTCCTCCCCCTCCCCCTCCCCCTCCAACCATAGCATCTGAGAAGTTCTGGCGGTAGCTGCTGGTGAGAGGCTTGCGCTGGCCCCCCTGCAGCCCCCACACCTGCTGTAGCCGGCTCTCCAGACCACCGCTGCTGCCCGCCGGGCTGCTTCCACCGTTCGGCCCCAGACAGTCATTCTCGTTGTTGTGATCATGCAGGCCTCCTGTCCGAAAGGCGATGTGCGCTTCAATCTCCTCACGGGCCCGCTCGGCATTGCTCGGGGATCCGGTGATTTCAAAGACGGGGTCACGATCTCGACTAGGAGTGACAATGTAAGTGCAGGTCTGCTGCTGGATGCGTTTGATGGTGGAGCCTTTTGGCCCCACCACCAGCCCCACCACGCGGTATGGCACTCTCACCTGAATGGTGGTCTGACCCGGAAGAGGTGTGGGCGGGGAGCCGCTGAAGGACACCCCCAGCTTGTTACGGGACGCCCGGAGCATGGAGAAGTGCTCTGCAGCGGAGATGATTTCACGGCGGGCCAGTGCTACATCCTCCTTCCGGCCAGTGATTAAGAACACGGGTTCCTCTCCTCTGACGGGGGTTTTGATGTAGGTGTTGGTCTTGGCCCGCAGTGCTTTGATCTTGCAACCTGTAGAGACACCAAAGTATGTTACAAAATACACACAAATATATATGACAACTTTAAAAGGGTCACAAGCAGGAACACACTTAAGCTAACCCTCAGCTCTCCTTTGTTGGGTGTAAATTCAGATATCTGCTCTGCTCACGACCGCTTTAACTTGATACACAGAGTAATTACCATGATTTATGAGGTTTCAGGCACCCGAGCATCAGTGCTAGTTACTGAGCGTGCTATTTTCTCTAAATCACAACTTCCTGAGATACACATGTGTGGTGCAGAGGTACTGGACACGGCTGTTTTTGGAGACCTCAGAGGTACAGCAGATGCAGCGGCGTATTTTCACAATGACTTTCTGACCTCTCCTTGAACTTGCGAGACAATACAGTCAACCCACGTGCGCTTCGTTTTTGGGCCATTTATTGCTCCACATCTGCCCTGTTTTTGACCAGTGTGTAACAGTTTACTAAGTGCTCTTAAGGCGCAGTCTTAATGTGAGAGAGTGCAGGTTAATGCTGTTTCATGACAAATCACCTGACACTGTAATGGGACACAACAGGATGTATAGTGTCAGTAATTATTTAGGAGCACTGCCAGGTACATTTGAGGTCGAGAAGAGGATGGCAAGAAAAGACATGGGGCCTCTGTTTATATTACACCCCATTAAGACTGCATCAAGCATTTATATGGGTTGGTTTCCATTCAGAAATTCAGGCAGCTTCCTCATTAAGATTTCCTCATTTACTGACAAGTTAAACGTGCCTTTCTCGTCTCTTAAAGAGGCCGGTGCGACTCTCTGGACAACCACCCTGATCTCATTGTACTGGGGTGCTTCAGAGCACGCAGCATGTCATTGCATTAACTAGCTGAATATCACAGCAGCAGCAGCAGGTATCAAAAGCTTCACAGACACCTTAAGGTGCAGCAGAATATCTTCCTGATGCTGTGACGAAGGCCCACTTTGTGGAGGAACACTTACTTCCAAAGAACCACAGGTACAGACACAAGGCCAGTGCTGCTATGAAGGGTTAGGACTGAAAATGCCTTGTGTGGCCGCTGCCTGGTGTAACAGGGAGGTTCATGCCACGGGGGCCAAAAGAACAATTGGCAAATTCCTTTTCTCAAACTACATTTTAAATTTTAATTAGCCCAAATTGATGTCTTAATTAAAAGAATTATCTGCAAACAAAATAGGCAAAGACTAATTAATCACAAGCAGAAATTAAGGTCACCGGAGACAAATTTATTTTCAGCTGCTAAACTGTGGTGTTAAGAGGTGAATGAGACACAAAACAAAGCCATCCTCGATGTCAAGCGCTCCAGAGGAAGGTACAAGAGCATCTTCGGGAATCAATGGCAGGAGAAAACAATCATAGCCGACCCTTTCTTCATGACAGGATGCTCCATTTGCCAAATTCACCAGACGGGCTATGATGCACGGTGCTGAGAGGAAGGGGGCGTGTATGTAGTGCCAGCTAACGAAGGGCCTGAATCAAAAGCAGCTCATCTCCAATCCCCCCCAAATCAGCACTTCTTTTCGGGCAAAAGGGCCCTCTCCCTGGACCCACCCCTCTGTCTGTCTTCATCCAGTGCATTAAAATTCAAAACTTACACTTTGAAGTAAAAAGCAGGAGCTGCGGCAGACACTACTACAGAGGAACGAAAAAGGGGAGTGTCTGCAAAAGAAGCCATCTCAACTCCTCTGAACCTCCAGCGAGACCTTGTTTGTTTTTGTGACGAGATAAATCAGGATTCACTGATGGAACCTCACCCACCCTGCAGTCTTTGTGTCTCCCCCTCTCTGTCCAACCCCCCCATTCCTCCCTCTCCTGACAGACAACCATGTGGTATTGAGAGTGTGCAGTGAAGTGGGGCTCATGAGGAGCCCCTTGTGCTGAGCTCCAAGGCGTGACTCCCATTCAGCTCTCAGATGCTGTACTGCCCCATCCTGGTCTCCCCCCTTCCCTCACCCACCGGGTTCACCACAAAGGGTGCAGCCACATAAACACCACCAGCACACAGCAGAAATCTCCTGCTTCAACTTGTGCAGCTCGGTAGTGCTGCAGAAATACAACAACAACAGGAATATTGTGCTTTTAAAAACCAGGATTTCCACCTCCTGGTGCAACTTCTCGCTGAGTCACCTTTAAGACCATCCCGAGTGCCAAGCAGCAACACTGTGTTCATGCGCCCCTCCCCTCATCCCCAGACTCACACCTTTGTTTGACAGCTGCTGTCATTCAACTTCAGCTCTTTGTTCAATAAAAACCTCCGGAATTAAAAAACAAAACAAAAACAAAAAAAACGAGCAGAATCTGTCTGGGATTGAACTTTTCAACTACCTCATTTGGAGGAAGAAGAAAAAACAAGGTGACCACGCTCGCTCTATTGTCCAATTGTGTCACTGGGGCAGTGCGCAACATAAACACCGAGATGAATAAATGTGGAAAGAGCAAAAACACGTTCCACCGTGGAGCATGGCTGCCTGATTTCGGTTATTTTCTTTGAAAGTGAAAGACATTCCCGTGTTCGCCCGCTGCACGTTGCCTTTTTGAACAGTCTGGCGCGTCTCAGACGACAAAGGAAGCAAGTGCTCTCCCTGCTCCAGTGTGTGTCTGTGCGCTGACATTGATGGCGTGGTGGATGTAGAATAATTCGCCCAGGAGGGGGAACGGGGGGCTCTCTCCTGCCTCCCTGCAAATCCACTTAGAAAAAAAAAAGAAGAAAAAAAACAAAAAAACAAAACAAAAAAAAAAACATAACAAAGCAGCTCGTTTTGGACGTGCGAGCGCGGAACCAGGAGAACTTGCAACGTTGTAGCAGGAAAAAGTGGGAGGCTGATGTCTCGGGGGAGTACAAAAAACACGCGAGCGAGCACACACACACACACACACACACACACACACACACACACCACTCCCTTTTCTTTGTCAAATAACACCAGGTAACTGTTGGAGAACAAAAAGCAAAGCGCGCGGGGACGCACGGCGCGGATAATGCAGCACTGTGAGCGCGATAAAAGCACAAGTTTGGAGGGAATAATTTGCAAGCCAGCGGTTTACCTTGTCTGCCCACTATCTCGGCCACATGTTCGGAGCTGGGCACCGGGACGCATTCTGTTATGTTGCAGCCTCGTCCTTTCGTCTCACTTGAGGAGCTCTCGTACAGGGCGCAAAACTTGCTCTTCCCTTGCAGAATCGCTGTGTCCCCGCCGCCTCCGACGCTGTTCGTGTGGTTGTGGTGGTTGTTGTTGTTGTTGCTCCGGTCCTGTACTCCTGTTGTTGGGGCTCCGCCGCCGTCCTCGCCTTCCCCGAGCCCCAGCAGAGACAACTGGCCCAGCGCGACCCTGAGGGCACGGGAGTCGTCTTCCTCCTCGTCGGGCGGCACAAGGAGACCCTCGCTGCCGAAGCCGGAGCCGGCCAGATCCCCGCCGTAGCCCCCATTTTTCTCCATGATCCCTGCTAGAACCAGCAGGCTAGGCATGGCTAACAAAAGAGTGTGTGAGACAAAGACAGGGGAAAGAGACTGGAGAAACAGCACCCGTGCCGCCTCCTCCTCGCCCCCTCCTTCTTCCAATTCCCCCCTTTGCGCTAGTCCCTCCCATAGACCGGCCCCCTCTCTCTCCAGCCGTCACACTCTCAGTACAGTAGTCTCTCTCCGAGCTCCGGGCGGACGGGACACAAGGCCGTCTGCACGATAGATGGGGCTGGGCGATGCGTTGCTCCACCCAGTCTGGTTTACACAGCTCCCCTCCTCGCCGAGACAAAACGAGCCGCCCTCCCGTTGTACCATTCCGTCTCAGGTTCACAAGCGTGTGGCATCTCGCACCGAGCCACCTCCCGGCACCTATAGAACTGGGAGGAAAAACACGATCCGGACGCTCGGAGCTCCGGAGCCGCAGTGGAGCCTGAAAGCCGCATTTTTTTTTTTTTTTTTTTTTTTTGCGAGACTTATGTAAGAGTCCGGGATGTAAACAGTTGCGTATGAAAAGGTGCAAGTACAGTGCGCACATGGTCGTGTCGTGGAGCCGCTGCAAAGATGATGTCAACTTTATCATTAGCAGATGAAACAGCAGCAGCTCCTGCACACCGCCAGGCGCAGCGTGGAGCCGCTCGCATGAATTTTACGCGTAAAGGAGTTTAGTGGCATTATTATTTTTGGGGGGGGAGGGGGAGAGGGGGTCCGCCCACCTCTGTGGAGCCGCGCTTTGCGGCAGGTCACCGCGCTGTTGTCTCCGGCGCCGTTGCGCATGAGGATGTTATATAGGAGGCAAAGAGGGTGTCTGAGGGGGGGTGGGCTGTATACGAGGAGGAGAGGAGAAAGGGAGTTGTCAGACAGGCGTTGCAGACCCTATGCAGTGGGGGGACCGTCAGAAAAGCCCCCCATTTCCCGTTTTCAAAAAAAGGAGGGTTTTGCAGCAGCAGCGGCGGCTCCGGTGAACAAAGAACCGCGCCGTTCGTTTCGCGTATAGAGACTCCCCAAGATGTCCTCGACAGAAGCCACGCCGACGGCACCGCTGTAGCAACGTAAAGATTCCAACTGCAGTGAAAAGCATCCCAAAAAAAACAACAACAAAAAAAAAATCATTATTTTTACAGTGACACATGTCATCAGTGTTTCTTCCACCCCCATTTTGTGAGGATTCTGTGGTTCACACAGGTAGAGCAAAGTACCTGCAACTTAAATTAAATAAATTATTAAATTCATCTGCAATAAATAAGCCAACAAAAGCAGTAGAAATGCATTTCTTGCATGCTATTCTACCCCAGAGTTGTAAATTATGATCACACTGGGGTCCCCTGCCATAAATACAGCTTTAAGGAATTGTTGCACCTGCTGTGTAAATTGCTATACAGTGCATGAGCAACAACTGATGTCCATGTTTTTAGCTTCCACCAAGTGTCAGTCAAGTGTAACTCAAGATTACCATCTGTGCATACATGCATGCTGGGATGTACAGCGTTGCATAAGGCCACCTGAATGACAAGGCAAACTCTGGGGACATTTACTCCCTCAAAACATTTCATTTTCTGCACATGCAGGTGTTTTTAATGAGAAGCTGGAGGGTTCGCCACTTGGAAATGCAATAATCTCTTGTGCTCTCCTGTTCCCAGTGGAGGTGTTGAATTCACCCCGTATATTATTTGTGTGTTTACCCCCAACCGTTTATTTCAGTCTATTATTTTACATCTTCCCCACAGCTGCAGCTGGGATACAAGTGTAAAAACAGAGACAAAAACAGTCTTATATGACAGACTGAGCATGACATGTGACTCTCCAGCATGAATATTTTAGCATTTCTAGTGAGAATGCCTTCTGCTTTTTAATAACATGTAGAATGGAGCAATAATATAATCACAAAATTCCAAACGACGAGTCTGAAAATAGAAACGACATCAATGCTGTGATAAAGTGATAGCAGAAAGACAGAGCAGGTGTATTTACATGCATAATCATAGTCTAGACGCGCTCTCTGGGTGCCAATCAGGACGGGGTTCGTTCCCGGAGGGCGTGTTGCAGATGAGAACTCACAGGGAGACTCCTGGTATGAGGCCAGGATTAAAACATCCCCCACCCCACCCAATAACGTGGATAAAAAACAGCAGCAGCAGGAGGAGAGCGGGATGGCGTGATGCATGGAGGACCAGAGGGTGGGCCCAGGGGGTCTGCTCCCAATCCCCCACCCAGCGGAGAGGCCGGAGGATTGGGTGAGAGTGCGGCTGGGACGGGGGGACAGCACTGGGCCGGCGTGTCCAAGAGGTCGTCTGGCTCCATTAAAAGGGGTCTGCTGGGAGTCCAGAGCCCAATCAATAAAAAGCATGGATCTGGGATAGTGTTTCCCCTCCTGCCACACTGCGCTCTCCGCCTCATGTGTGAGTTTGGTGTGGCCTATCGGATTGGCCATGCTGCTGTTGTGCCACATAATCTTTGTGACCCTGAACTAAACCTTCTGCGGCTCTGAATGGGCCACAGCAGCAGGTCAGTTTCTCATTCAGACCTGCTTGCCTGGAGCTGTGGGCTACAGTTGTCATTTGTGCTCCTGCGTTTGCATGCGTGTGCGTTGGCTGCAGAGTGCTGAGGTCATGTTACTTGCACATAAAAAACTCTGTGATCTTGACCATCTGCTCATCACAGTAGTGCTGTTCCTCCCCTTTTCCTCCCCCCCTAATGAAAGGATGACTGGCATCTTTGCGGAGATGCTGTGGTTTACTGCGCCGCACACCAAACTCTTTGTCTGAGAGCTCATGCAAATATGGCTTTCACCTATGGACAGTATCTGTCTTTCAAAGAGGACAGGCTTAATAGGCTGTAAAGAAACGTCTGAGAATCCCTAAAGGACATCCCTTTGACTTCCATGTCCAGATGTCCTTTTCAGGACTTTTCTGGTGCCCCGCTGTCACTTGAATGAGGCTTCTGCGAGCACAAAGGGACGAGTTGGCCAAGCACCATGTGCTGATGCCATAGTGAACGGGCTATCGGGGATGATGTAAGACCTCATGCAAATGATACCACATCTTGTGCTCATGAGCCAACGAGAGCCCCAAAGTCGATCAGCTGAATAAATGAAATGCAGAGGCCACATTGTGTTCGGGGGCTTTCCCTCCAGGATCTCTTATTAGAAAACTTTGATTTGTTTACGTGTTTGCTCGTTTATATTTGTTTTTATTTGTTCTAAGTTTGTTCCACTGTTAATTCTTTTTTCCACTGGATAGCAGGCAGCAGCACATCTTGTTACACACATAATGATGTACAATAAAACCAGCCAACAAACCAAGTAAACAGTCGTTTAAGAAACCAGAGAGCGACATGGGGCCTGGTTTAGAACCACTAGTTTGTTTAGTTTTATCTGCAGACTGAGCATTGACCTTTAACACAGCAATCTGGAACGGGACCCCTTATTGTTCATGATCTCAGACAAAAGACAGACCTGATGTTTACATGTAATTCATTTGAAATGTAGGTTTTAATTTTACATTGCTTATCCACTTTTTGCACTGCTTGAAGATTTGCTCAGTGAGCAGCGTAAGTGCTTTAATCTGTCAATTATTTCTGTCATCAGTTGAGTCTGAAAGTGAAGAAACATGGAGAAAAATTCACACCACAGCTTTCCAGAGTGACACACTTAATGTTTTATTCTTTTATTATCAAAATCACAAAATCTTTACATTCTATTTAAAATATGTAACAAAACTTTGAACAGAAGTTATGTGAAGAAAGAAACATGTAATAATCTACAAAAAATATATTTACAATTCAACAACACTTAAAAAAAAAAAAGACAACAAAAAGTTGCAAAATCTAACAAAAAGTGTATAGTGCCATAAAGAAACCTGTAGGACAAACCAACAAAGGCAACCAAAAATAATACATTCAGAACAAAACCTTTTCACTGAGTTGCAAAACACTCAGGGTGAGGTCAAAAGATGATTTTCAAAAAATCCGATAACATATAAAAACAAATAGATATGATTTATCAATAAATTTTCCCCTGCAGGGACTCTGAGAAGGCACTGGGTAGAGAAAGTGTTTCCAAGAATAGCAACATCATTGTCCCTTTTAGCCGTTTGTTTGTGTTGCGGAATAAGATCTAACAACTGCAAGGTTTCCGCCTTGTTTTCACACAGGTTTGTTTGCAGTACATAATTCTGTATAATATACGGAATAAGCCTCCTGGTGTTCAACTCAAGGAAATACATTTCCTAGCATCGGAGAGAACAAATTTTTCAGTTTATACAGTTTTATGGAATATGAACACAAAGCATTGAAAAACCGGACCAACAACTCACGACAAGAAATAAGCGAGGAGGTTGTCCTGCCAGGTGTGGCGTTACTTTGTGAGAAATTTTGTTTCTAGCCTTACAGCTGGTTTGACTGTCACACAGTCAAGTACCCAATAGCCTGTTAGCTTGTTTGCTTGTTTAACTTTTTTGCTCGCACAGTGCGGTCTCTCCAAAGTCCACCGCAAAAGTAAAAATTTTTCAATGTACTTAAGTTTTGCAAACACATCAGAGATTACAGAGGCTCCCATAGGAATGAATGGAGTTCCAGTCGTCTCACTTGTGGTCACAGAGCTCTGTGAAGATGATGCATAGCTCCATGTGCACCAATACGATGACAAACGGTGGTTACTCTACGAAGCTCCTGCTCATTTGAAGGAAATAGAACAATGGAGAGTAACTTATATGATTAGTTACGTTGTTCATAGTGACAAGGAGGGGAGAAGACTGCTACTGGACGGGGTCATCGAGAGGCCAAAAGAGTTCTTGAAAACATTTATTTAGTTGTAGGTACTTTTTCCTCCCCTAAAATTGCCCCTGAACGTGGTTGGAACACACTGACAGCTTCCGGCCACTTTAAAACATCCCACAAGCTGTTGTTGCAAAAGATTTAAAAAACCCTGCGAGTCGGCTGCTCCTACATACATGTTTACTCATTGCTACAGTTTATACATAGAGATAAAAATATGATGGTTGGTAGACAGTTGCTTTCTTTGTTTGGATAGGCCTAATAGTGCATGCATGGGTTAATCCAATAATAAGCAAAATGTTGGAGTGTGAGTGGAGTTGAGGGAGGACTTGGACTGATTCAAGTAGTCACCTTTAATTGTGCATAACTTCAAGCCTTAATACAATTTCAACAGTTGAGTCATGTAGAAATCCACCTCTTGTACAGTTGTTGTGATTGGAGAACACCTTATGGTTTTAAAGTTTTATTCCACCCAAATAGTACTTTCTGTCCAGTAATTTGACTTGGTTGCCAAGAGATGCATGTTGAGCAAATTGAGTAATTAG